ACACTATTGAGAATTAAAGAGCTTGTAATAGTATAGCTCTATGTTCTTTTGGTAAAATTATGCAACTTAATATATATGATATGCCGACTTTAGAACGTATATTGTTTATGCACTTACATTATGATATGAGGACATTTTTGTGTATTTTGACTTAAGTTATTGTATGTGTGATGGGAGTTATTGTTAGAGGTTGAAATACTAGTGCAACTGTCATGATTATGGTAAATGAATGTGTATGAATAATTATTATATGGTTATGTTGATTATCACCAATGTCCCTTAATTTATGTGAAACCGGGGTTTCAAAGGCTAAGTTGTGTATGAGAAATATGTATGTATGTTTGTTGATTCAATCCAGTATATTGGGATTTATTTGAGTTGGTTCAAGTGATTTTAAATCTATTGGCACTTGGTTTGAAGGTTTGGATACCTTTAGGTGCATTTGAAAGGAAAAATGGTCATTTTGCACCCAAATATTCAACTTTTAAATGGTAAAGAGTTAGGATGTAAAACTAGTGCCAGTAGATAGGGGGTTACAAAACTACGTGTGGATATTTGAATTTTCAAATTAGATGTCACATGGCAAAATGGTGCACTTAAAAATTTGGTCCCAGAGTGTTGTCATGATAGCATGCATACATTGCGACGCAAAGTAGGTGTGCCATAACGCAATTCACAACTAGGGGATCCTCCCTTCTGTATCGTCCACCTCGGCAGGTGACACTTGCACAGTAACAAATGAGGCAATTTGGAGTGCCTAAATTACCCTTATTTGATGAGTTTTTGTGATAAATTTTTTTTTCATACTTCCATATCCTTTCCGTTATATGCTTTAAACTACCGTTTGAACTCAAACATCTTTTTAGAAAGGGTTTTTTAGATCCCAACTTTGAACTTTTTGACTTTTAAACCCTTTTCTAATATGATAACCTATTTTAAGGATTTGCTTAATTTTAGTTATCATGATGGGAGTGTGTTGTGTCATGATAATGTTGAGATAGACATTACATCTTGCAATTAATGAAACAATTTTTTTTTAGTAAAAATAAGCATTGACTTTATGAGGAAGCATTCGGACAAAATGTGATAAATACGTCTTGAAATTTGTAGCTTTGTTTATAAATAAAAACAAATAGATATATGGTAGTTTATCTTACTCCCTCCAATCCAAAATATAAACATTTTCTTCCATCTAACATTGGTCCAAAATAAAAGCAACTAAGCATTTGTATCTTTTTTTTTCTGCATTTTACCTCTATTTTTATTAAGCTAGATTCTCGTGTGTATGAATTTATGACATTTTTTCACTTATCATGAATTAAAACTAAGGGTAAAAGGAAAAAATAATACATATATTTTTGGAAATACAAATCTTATTAGCATGTAAATTATTGTTAAAAACTGCTTATATTTTGGACGAGTATATTTAAAAAATAAAAAAAATAATTATTATACTTAATTAATTTTCTCAAACAGTGTGATTTGATTATTTTTTATATTTAAAAATGGAGGAAATATATACTAAGCATTTGATAATGGGGCATATGCACCAATATTAAATAACTAGCTCATCGTTAGGGTGGCCGGTGGTCCCATTTTCGCAAACGAAACAAAGCCACATTTAATAAGACGACTAGGAAGTGATCAAACATTATTATGAAGACTCTGGACTCTGGACTGTGAAGTATATGAACCACTTGTAGTTCAGATATTCAAGATTTTGAATGAGAAATCTTCTAATTTTTTTAAAAAAACTTTTAGCAGGCAATTTCATTGTAATTAATAGTATTATATTTCATTGATATTCTGATGCCATATGTCATCAACAGAGAATCCTTTTAAATTTTTATTTTTTTGGTTATTCTCTTTAAAAATTTCAACTATATTTGGATAAGGGAAAACACAATTGTCAATTGTTATAGTTTTATCAGATTTTATTTTTAATTTTTATAAAATTTTTAGTATTTTTAATCCTTATAATTTTAAGAAGATTGAGTAACATTTATTATTCAAATATCTGTAATTTTAATATTTTTAATCCTTATAATGATTGAAAATATTAAAAAAATTACAAGGACTAAAACAACTTCCAATAAAATTATACGAACTAATGACGGTTGTACCTTGCTTCTCCAATGTCTCATTTGTAAGTAAAGACCATAATTCTAAATGTCTAGAAGTTGGTTAAAAAAAATGTTTACAAGTTCTATAGCAACGATATTAAACATTGAGAGAATTATTATCATTTTTATTTAACTCTCCCAATGCTCAATGAATTTAATTTAATAGCATCATATGCTTCCTCATGTCCTTGATACAGTATAAGATAAACTTAACTAATTTCATGCATATTAAGAAATTATAGTTATATTCTTAAAATTGTTAAAAATATAATTTTTAAATTTTACCTTTATTTGAATTAACAATTATAATAAATTTTTATTCAAAAATTTAAATTATAATTATATAAGAATGATTGGCATAGATTTCACTTTTTTTTTTTTAAATGTAAAGCATCCTAATGTGCGAGGATCGGGACAAATTCTTCGTGTTTGTTCACGGATATGTATATTCATGGGACGAATGGGACGTAGCTCTAGACTTTCAAGTCAAGGACAAGACCAATTAGGGTGATTACATTATTTACAGCACCTATAAATTTCTAAATATTTATATGGTGTCAGTAAAGTTGGTCACCCATTACATGATTCGTACAATGATATCGTACTCTATAAATCATAAAATCTTTCAATATATATTAGATCCTATTCCTTTTAATATAAAATATTTTTAATTAAATTTAACTTTTTAATAAAATAGTTAATTATTTTTAAATTAATAAAATATTTTTATATATACTTTTATTTAATACTCTCTCCATTTAAAAATATAAGGCATTTTTAATGAAATCTCACCGTCAAATAGTTACCCACTTTTTAACTAACCTTATATTTTTATATTTATCTTTATTAAATACACTACAATAAATATAAAGTTATTATTAATAGGAGCACTTTTGAAAAAAAAACAATGATTATATCTCGAAAGACTAAAAATATTTTATATTTTTAAACATCCAACTCTTTTAAAAATGCCTTATATTTTTAAATGGAGTGAGTGAGTTGTTTCACTTAAAAATAAAAATAAAGTGCTGTATTTATTATGGGTATTAAAAAAATTATTAATTATACTTTAAATATTAAAAATATTTTATATTTTTTAATATTCAATTTTAAAAAAATATTTTATATTTTTTAATTGACCGGGCATGGAAGTTTTTTTAAATAGATCTTAAGTTTAGATAAAAGTAAAAAAGGGCTGTTACATTCCCCATAACGAATTTAAAACTTTGCCGAATCCTCGTGATATCAAACAGAGAAGTTTTATATTATAGGTAGAAAATGTAAGATATAAATGTTTAGATTTATCAGGCCAAAAAAATGTTTGGATTTAATATAATTTTTTAATTGTTAATACTAAAACTTATGCTTTTTTAAATTATAGAAATTTAAACACTTTTGTAATGTCAAGGAGGGACTAAATTGTAATTTAAGAAAACACAATATAATAAGTATAGTAATAACTTTGGTCATAAAAAAAATTTAATTTTTAAGATAATCTCGTGTCACTTTTATTAAATTTGAAAAAATCATTCATTTGTTGTGTTAATCTAAATCACATTAATTGGAGGTCGAGGGCTTAGGGCATGAACAATGAAGTTAATAAATTTTTTTTTTTTTTTAGTGGGAGGGAGAAAACGGTGAACGATACAATTTGTGATTGATGAGATTTCAAAGTGACAAGAGCCATTTGTCTTTATTTGAATTTTCAAAAGCAGAGGATAAAAGGTTGGTAAGAAAGAAAGAGCATGATAAGTTGCAAATCAAGTCCAAGTAAGAATAATTGAGTAGTTGGCCTGCTACTTGTTTAACTTTTACTCATTCCGTTCTCAATTACTTGTCTTTTTCTTTTTTTTTTATTTTTTAACTGCTTACAGGCATCTTTTTATTAAAAATAATTTTATTTAAGATATAATTAAATATTAAATATGAATATATTTTTAATAAAAATTTAAATTCTGATTCACTATATTGTGAGGGACTAACCTTTTTCATACTCAGCTTGCAATTTCTTGTTTCATTTCTTCTCAAAATGCAACCTAATGTAATTGTCTCTAGAAGGGAACATGAAAGGCGAAGGAAAATGCTACAAATAAACATATTAAGTATAGAAAATATATTTAATAAAGTTCACTTTCATTTTGTGTGTGTATATATATATGGAAGCTTAAATCATCCACAATACAATTAAATAATACAAAATTTAAGTCTAATAAAATGACAACTAGACACATTTGAGACATCATGACATTTTATTGTGTTGGGGAGAGCTTGCGTGTAATTCCTACATATATTTTCCTGGTAAGCAAAAGGAGTGGGTTTTGCCTATAGGCAACAACAATATCTTCAAGGAGGTACATAATACTTATATATATATATATATATATATATATATATATATATTTACTTTGATTTATATAATTTCTTCATAAAATTTGACTAAAAATTGAGGTGGGGTCAAGCTTTCCCTTAAAGCGGGCCTATTTATTAAGTTGAAGTTCAGCAACTTCCCTTTCTTTCTTCCGTCCAATTTGAAACTTGAGGCAAAACAATGAGGCATGAGCAACTGCCTACGCAATTCTTGAAGTCATAATAATGGTTCATAATCAAACTGGCAATATTCTAACCAACTTGCTTCAAACATTGTTCTCGTCTTGGAGTAGTTATGGAAAATTCTAACTCCCAAAAGCTGTGGAAGCACCATTTTTCCACACCAAAACATTTATATATATAGTAGGGAAAAATGAAAATTGACCCGTCAATTTTGTCTCAATTATTAACCTAACCCTTAAGTTTCATAAGCATATACAATTAGTCCTAATGATTTAAAAGAGAAATAGCATTATAAGAACTAATACAAGATTCAAAAGGCCAAAAAAAGAAACAAAGGTTTACTATACTTGCTCATTTCACAGGCAACAATGGACTGCCACCAGTCTGCATATACAAAACGACATGATTTACAACACCAGGATAAATATTTTCTTTTCCGACCCAAAAAATAAAGAGAAAAAGCATAGACAAGTACATAAATATCGAGATATTTGTACAAGAAATAAAGAGCAGTAAATTAACATCGGGTAAAACAAAAAAAAAAAGAAAAAAGAAAGAAAGCAGAAGAGAGAGAAATAGAGAAGAAAAAAAAACCATTACTGAACATAAATTTCTGCCTCTTCGAGAAATGCTCCATTCTTACACTAACAGGTAAATTCCCATATGAAGAATTGCAGTCAAGGTGACAGGCAACATCTTGTAGTGTTGTGTCAAAATCTCATTCTTGTTCACCGATACCTGATCTTGATGATGAAGTCGCAAAGACAGTGACTCTACAAACGCATGGCAAATCGAAGACGAATCTGTAGACTGTAGCTACCACCACCACCACCATCAAAACCGGTTATCAAACAATGAACTTCCTCCATTCATCAACCACCATTTAGCTAGCTTTGGTTTTAAAACAACTAATCTAATTCAGTGTCTGGTCAAAGATCATCTCCTGTAACATCAGAGGGGGGGAAAGAATATTTCATTGGAGTACGGCACAAATAGTGTTTAAGATAAAGCGAAAATTGCATCTAAGGACTCAGATTCTAAGAACTTTAGGATGGAGGATCTTGAAAAATTGTAACCATTTCCAAAAATCAAAATTGCAATGAAGTTTTACAAGACTTACCAACAAGTTTTAAGAAAGTTATTAACTAAATTTAAGAACATTATACTAGGTTTTAAGTAGTTTTCTCAAAGCTTATAATAACTTTCTTAAATTATACTGTAATATTTATCGTGATTTATATGATTTTTCACCATAATTTTTTTAAGAGCTGGGTCCAAGATATAATTTTCCACAGGATTAAAAGCTCCAGACTGGCTTTATTTGATGGTGACATGCTCGAATTTCTCAAGTCAGCAATATGCCAAATTTCTACATCCAGCTGGAACTGGTTAGGTTAGTCTAACAAGAAAAAAGCACCCCCCCTTCCTTTTCTTCCTCTTTCATAGTTTTTGCTGAAGACATACCTGATCGCATATAGGACAAGAGTCACTTCGTTCCATCCACTCAAGAATGCAAGATAGGTGAAAGTGGTGTTCACACTTGGTCAGAGTTTTAGGATTCTCAACATCATATTCTGCATTTAAAATGCAAATCTTGCATAAATTCTTTCAGTGGCTAAAGTGAGGAAGAGAGCCAGGACCAATTAGTTCCAGTTCTATCAACTGAAGCACAGTTAAAGTAGGAGGATTCACTAGGATATTTCTATTAGTTGGGCAACTGTACCTTCAAGACAAATTGGGCAACCATCCTCTTCCTCTGTCACTAATACACGAGATTCATTTGGTTTTGTTAGTTCCAGCTTCCTTGGAGATGCAGGCAAAGAATTAGCTTGAACTTTGCATTCTGAGTCTTCAATATCTTCACAAGTAAGTAAAGTCGCAAAACTGCTACCACTAACTGTTTCTCTGCCTGACTCAGAATCAGTTGATGCTGGACAGCCCAAAACCGTATCATATGGCAATGGTGCAGGAGGGGGCCGGTAAGTATCAGGTGTTGATCCCTGAAGGTCCAAACCCACCAGCAATCCAGTAGTGAATGAACCAGCAGTACCATGGCTAGCAGTTAAAGATTCATGCTCTTCCAAAGCCGGTGGACACTGCAGAATAGATTTTCTTAGATTTAAAATGTCATAAACAATGTTTACTAAACAGAGTCCCATACAAAAAGTAGTGAATGGTTTATCATCATAAAAGAGCTTGAATATGTGGGGGGAAAATCAATATTACATCTCCTAATGAAGTCATGCTTGCATTGGAGAAAATTCTTAAGATATTCTCCTAACTAAATGAAAAAGAAAAAGAAATCTAGGTTTTCTTGGAGGTGTTATAATATAACGTATTGCATCATGACAGTTAAAGCATTCTCCATTTCTCATTCTTGTCACTGTACAATCTACAAAAGACAAAAAGAAATATAGAAATGGTAAAAAAAGAAGACAGTCACAGAAATCTGTTTCAATTTCTTTTCCATTTTTGCAATGAGCTTTGCAGATGATGAAAAGGAAAAATAAAGTAGAGATTTGTCAAGATAAATTAAATCTAAGATTCCATATCTTCAAAAAATTTGCACCCGCTCATGCATGATGCATCATCCAATAAAGCATGCATTAGTGCAATTTTTTGCTGCCATATGTGTGACTTAGTTCAATCAGAGATGTGTATCATTCATTAGCTCCCATTTTTACCATGAATCTAATATTTGGTCAAAAACAGTTCTATATTCCAAACAAAGCAATTAACCCACCGTACTCAACTTTCTTCCAACACTTTTATCGCCTCGTTGAATTACTACACATAAGCTATCTAACATTTCTAGTAAATGATGAACAGTTGGTTATCTTTTGAGATCCTTTGTCCCCAGAATAAGCCTCTATCTATCGAAGTGTGTATATGAGTTTTCACTTCAGTGTTTAAAGAGATTAAAGGTCCTCCTTATTAGTTGATTTTAGAAATATGACAGAACAAAGCAATTGCAGAAAGAGGGGGGGAGGTGAATAGTAAAAATAAAATCTAGCAGCACCTTTAATGACTACCTGCATTAAAGACAATTTAAGTCACAATAATCAAAATCCTTAAGAAAGTCATATTGCAACATTGCTTTAGAATGTTGCATTTACAACTGTGGTCAATAAAGCATTTCATGGCATTCCAATTGCCAGTTACAATTATAATTATGCTCGGTTTGGATTAGTCCTTTTCATATGTTACAGAAAATAGCATTTAATTTGATAACATAAAGGAGGGAAAAACCTTGTTAACATGGCATGAATACAATATAATCGCTTGAAAACACTTAGACAGCAAATTGAATATAACATAGCATAGCTATCATATGTTCTAGTATTATATAATATCACCACACACATAATATCATTTAGAACTATTTAAACGAGCATATTGGAAAATTAATGGGGATGAACAATTATCAGCTATCAGCTGTTCTAGCTATAAATTATTTAAAAAGGATGAATTACTGACATAAATATAAACTGGTGTTCCATGCAGATGAGGTTTTCTGGCACTGCAGCAGCAACCTCCCATTTTGTTTTTGTTTTCTTAGCCAAAACCACTAGTGATGGTCTCATTCATTCCTGTTATTCAGCACAAAAGAAAATCAGAGGCGCCCTAAACTTGAGAGTTGCCACAAGTCTACAGATGGTATTTACAGTATGTTCACAAAGAAATGGGCATGATGTTTCATGAAGCAATAATAATGATACAACAACAACAATAACAAGCCTCATCCCACTAGGTGAGGTTGACTACATGGATTGTACAACAATAATGATGTCAACTTGAAATTATGCATGTGCTACTCAATAACAAAATTAATTAGTGGCCAAAGTCTTTCACCAAGAGGAATAGCATTTATAGACAGCAACTAAGAAAAAGTGAACTGGCCACAAAGGAGCCCCATAAATCACCAAGATGTGTGCATTTGATCGTTCAACATACTAACAATTTGAAAGCTAGCATCATTTTATAGAATAAAAAAGTTGGATTTAGAAGCCATAGTTTTCTTTTCTAAGATAGAGCATAACATGCAACTATATCCAACACCTTGCGCAGCTTGTACAAGCTTCACACATCTGCTATTGCAGTTTTTCATGTTGTAGCTGGCAAGAAAGAGACACTAAACATCGTTTTCCTTTCAGTACAACTAGGTATCCTCTACTGCCAGTTAACCAAGATTCAGGAATTGTTGGATTCAAACAGGACCTAGTTCTCCCAGTTTAGTTTTGACAATATACATCTTTCATTAACACACAGCTCAACTTTCCAAATCAGAAGCAAAAGGCCAATTAATGAACTTCGATTGAAATTATTATATGCCTCTATAACAAGGGCTTGAAGAGTAAAGACCATACTATTATAATTCACAAAAATGCCTTAACCCACAAATTCAAGTCCACGCCCCCGAATTTATGACTTTTCCATTAACGACTCACTACATTTAGCATATAATTCCCAACAAAAGTTAATCTTCACACACAACAAACAATTAACAAAATCAATACTATCAACCACGAACGAGAAGAAAAGAAACATATCAATCGAGCAACAAAAGCCAGGATCATGGTCATACAATAAAAGAAAGCAAAATAGAGATAACACCTGCCCTACAACCCAAAACGCCAGAGCGATCCCAAAAACAGATAGCACATCAAAACCATTCAATTAAATTCAATCCCAGAAGTCACCGCATGAACCCTAATAGAAAAATCCGTTCCAGAGGAAAAGGATGCACAAACCACATGTGAATAACCAATTAAACTCCAAAAAAACTGTCAGATGCAAGGAAGCCATGAAGGAAACCTAAAAGCTCACACCTTTGAAAGGCAGAGAGAGAGAGAGTTGGGGGGGGGGGGAACAGAACAAATGAATTTCAGAAATAGCGGTTGAGGGTAGGATTGCGAAAGCTTGCACTCTGGATGTTCTACTTTCCTGTCCAGTCCTACACGCTCCACTCATTTCTCTCTCATAGTCATAGGCGCTTTGTCTTTCCGTTCTCACCATATTTTTTTATTTCTACTTTTGTGTTATTTTCTTCTTCTTTTTCTTGAAGATGAAAATGACAAAGTCAACTGGAAATAGTTGTGCGGCTCCAGGGGATGAAGGTGAATCCTTAATCCTGTTCCTAACATGGAAAGTGATTATGTGGTACTGAAATTAATGCGTCCATTTCTTGTTTATTGTTTTTCTTGCATTAGATTCATTCACTGATGGATTGCGTCAATGCTTCAATTTTAAGGTTATGAATATAAATCAGAATTTGAGTATTTTTTAAGTTATCCTAAATTCAATCTCCTGTATTAGCAGGTCCAGAAGGAACTTAAAACTATATCATTATCAACATATAATGCGACGGAGTTAAAAATGATATGGTGGCGGAGGAAATACAGTACTCTATATTTTTAAATATAAAATTTAAAGTAGTTATTATATATTTTTTTCATTCCTATTTATAAAATATTTTTTAAAAATAATTTTTAATTCAAAATATATTACACCTTATAATAATTAAATTATTTTTTAATTTTATCTTTTCTTGATAAACATGAAAGTATTTAATATATTTATATTATTATTTAAAATTGGATAAAAATAAAAGTATATTTCACTCTTTTATAATATAAAAAAATTCTTAATATGTATAAAATGATTGAAAATATTTTACAATAAGAATTAGAGGGTATACTAAAGACTGAAGGGAATATATATATGTATAAAGAATATAAAACTTTTAAAATTTTAAAATAGTTAACATTATAAATAACACACACTTGCCACTTTATTTTCCGCCTATTTTTCAACTTCTTTTGGTAAAGTGAGAGTAAAGTATACTCCTTCTATTAGAAAATATAAGATATTTTTAATCAAATCTCACCCTCTAATAAAATAGTTACCTATTTTTAAACTAACTCTATCATTTCATATTTATCTCTATTAACGACTCAATAATAAATATAAAATTATTATCAATAGGAGTACTTTTGAAAAAAAAGACAATGATTATACCTCGAAAGATTAAAAATGTCTTACATTTTTTAACGAAGGAATTATATTTTTCTTTTATTCATGAATTCCACAAAATATATTATGTCATGGTAACCCATTGAATGTACCGTGAGATTGGTTTTGCTTGTTCCTCTGTAATCTTCAATAATCTTTCGGAGACGAGACAGTGATAACTGATGAGAAGGTAGTTTAGTTCAAAATGATTTAAGTTGGGACAGCACAGCAGATTATAATATTTTAAGTACCCATTATTGTTGGTTAGTGGCCATCCTTGAAAAGAGCTTAAGGTGATTCTCCATTTCAATAAATTGATATACTTGTTTTACCTACTTCAATCTACCAAATTTATAAACACTTTCCGTTTTTATAATTTCTTCTTCACCTTAATATTAGTACGTTTAGAAAATGTCATGGACACTCCAAATTGAAATAAATTTTCTAGACTTTTCGGAGATGGCCTAATAACAAGGATGAAGGGGGATTAAAGTCATAAAGACTATAATGAATAACAAGTAAACAAATAAATAATGGTGATATTATGAATATATAATAAAATAAATAAAGTGAAATTTCAACATAACATGCAACTACACCCACTAAAATAAGTTCTGGTAATTTCTTTAAAAAAAATTAACGATGAAATATGTTATAATTGAATAAACACCCAAATATTACTATATTTAATCACAAGGCAGATTTAGTTCGGCCCGAAAAAAGTACAGGTTTGAATTTGATTTGTACACAAGAAAAGAAAGGAGGAACTGACCCAAAATTGAGCTAAAGTCCAGCTTGGTTCCTTGTCCATCTTATTGAACCCAGACGTTACGAATTAAAAGCTAATAGGCCCAGCCCAAACCATAAAATTTAAAAGGGAAAATTAACCATGTGGAAAAGCAAATCATCATTTCGATTCATTAATGTGTTGTATAGAAAAAAAAAAAAAAAGATTCATTAATGTGCGTATGAATGTGCTTAAGCCACGTAACTCGATTCAGATTCATTCTCATGAGTCCTCAACACCATTCATAACTAGTGGCTAAATTACACATTGACTTTCCCGAACTTTAATGCAAATTATTATGTGGCAAAAAATAATACGTGGCTTTTAAGTTTCTAATTTTAAAATGGTCTTAAAAAATTATGAAAATGGTTCACGATTTAGTAACAGGATCGAATATAATTATTTTAATATTTTTAAATAATATATGCATGTATCACAAAATAAATTAATATAAAATCATAAAAATTAATATTTAAATTAAGAAAATCATTTAGGAAACTAAGAAAGTGTATAAATTATTTATAAATTTCTCTGTTAATTTTTTATAAAAATAATATGGTGGTAGATTTGGTTTCACTCGCCTCATTTTTTTAACCATCGATAGCATTTAATAAGATTTTTTTTCCTGCCAAAAACAACATTTAATGATATTAATTAATGTGAATTTGTTCAAGAAATGGACAAATATTTTATTTCCCTCCCATTTCAAGCACTTCCCACTGCTCTTTTGCATTTTTTGCTCCTTTTTATTAATATAATAATTTCATAAGAGGAGATGGTTTTAATACTCCTGCTATTCCTTTAAAAAAAAATTAGATAGACTTGTGAGTATCACAGTTTGTCCAATAAAAATATTCTAAGTAATTTAAATAAGATTTATATATAATATCATTTAAATGTTATGTTTTATTAGACAGAGTGCAAATAACATGATACACTCGATTTATTTAAATATTTTTTTCTTTAATATCATGATAATACTATAGTATTATAATACAATAATTGAATGGGATGCCTCGCATGTGAAGAGAGAATATGCCAATAGCCTTAAAGGTATGTTTAGTTTAAAGGGAGGCAAGGGAAAAATTTTTAATGGAGGGGAGGGGAGGGAGAGAGATTTTAATAAACTTTTTGTTTAGTTTAGGATGAGGGGAAATGAGAATCAATAATAAATTAAACAATTTTATGCTAATCAATTTTAAGTTCATTTTTATTTTTTATTTAATTTATTATTAAAAATAGTTATATTATATTTTAGTAACTTTATTATTTTAAGGATATGAACTTATATTAATAACATTTTTAAAGAATAAATACATTAATATTATATTTTATCAATGTATCTATTAAAAAATATTAAAGTTTTAGACAATAAAAATTGTATATTAATTTTTGTAAAATAATAAAATTTATTTAATTATAAAAGAGAGAGGGGAAGGTAATGCATAATTTTTAAATATTAAATATAGTTTAAAATTTTTAAATAAATAATTTAATTATAATTTTCTTCCTCTTCTCCTCTTTAAAAACCCTTAAATTGGAGAGGGGATTTCTTTCCTTCTCCTTTAATTTTTTAATCAAACAAGGGACTTCTCTTTTCTTTCTTTCCTTTCTTTTATTAATATTAATCAAATAGGGGAAGGGGAGCAACTTCCCTTCACTTACCTTCCACACCAAAAACCTCATATTAATCATAGCCTAACTCTCTTCCCCTCCTCTAATCCTTCTCTTTCCCACTTTCTTTTGCGACCGTGGCTTTGTTTCTTTGCTGAGAGAATATGAAAGAGTGTTTTTATAGAGTAAAGGGGTAAAAATACCCACAAAATGATTAGCTAGAGGCACCTAATATCTTAAAGTGAAGAGAAGGGCAAAAATATCTATAATGTCATATGAGTGGGTGTAAAAGTAATCAAATCGTTAACTTTGACTTAATGCCGTTAACTTTTTGCTGATGTGGATTAATAATGGGGCAAAAATATTCACGAAGTCATCAATCGAGAGTAAAAATATCTACAAAATTGTCGATTATGAGCAAAAACGCCCATAACAAATTCAGAGTTAATGCAAAAGTGATCAATCCATCAAATTTTTTAAATATTGACTGTTTAGCTGACACCTAAGCAGAATTTGACCATTTTTGCATTGATATGGATAAAAAATATTCTTAAATGCAATTTTCTGGAGGTTAATTGATTATTGTTTGAATATCATGTGAGAAAATATAATTTTGATTGGATATCAAATTAAATCAATTGTTTCTTTGCAAGAGTGGTAAAAACCATTTGAAAATTTTGATCTTATCATGAAAAAAAATTGCTTAAGGTTGTGCAATGTTCTTAAAGTAAGGTGACGTAGGAGGTGTACTCAATCTTAATCTTTGATTGTGTACAACTTATTTTATTATGTTGAATCTTAAGTTTTATAGATAAGAAAAATAAGTGGAGAGAAAAAAAAGAAAAGAGACAAGATACATGGTAATAAAAAGAAATTATGTAGCATAAATTTTGACGGATTGATCATTATTGTATCTACTAAAGTAATATTATGAGTACTCATATGATGATTAATCAACATCCACAAAAATTTATATGGGAATATTTTTGTCTATATTAACAAAAAAATAGTCAATTTTGACTTAAATGTCAACTAAACGGTTAACATTTAAGGGATTTGATGAATTGATTACTTTTGTACCAACTTTGAAAACGTTACGGGTATTTTTGCTCTTGGTTAATGATTTCATGGATATTTTTTTTCCTTTATTAGTTCACGTCAACAAAACTGATATGTAGCATGCATAGTCAGCATTTAATGGCTAAAATTAATGGCGTTAGATCAAAGTTAACGATTTGATCACTTTTACACCCATTCTGTAACGTTATGAGTATTTTTATCTTTTTTCTCATTTTAGGATATTAGATGCCCTGAGCTGATTATTTTGTATGTATTTTTATCCTTTATCCTTCTTTATATCAGATTTAGACAATTTCATGACAAATCAAGTAATTTTGTGACGGGAAAAACACATTTAAGGAGGTAGTTTTAATTTTGCTAAAAAAAAAAGGAGGTAGTTTTAATGTAAAATATATTCTTTTCTTGATTTTTAATAAATATATTTCATTCTTCATCTCCATTTGTTCTCTGGCTCTTCTATCGGCTTCCCTCCCCCTCTCTTTCTAGATCTGGTCACTTGAACCGCTTGAACCACCATCGGACCGGACTAGTGGCCGGTTCCCGGTGTCCAGGCTGAATATTAAAACCTGGTGACTTACATTCATAATTACGATGCTTCAAACTTCAAAGATTCTCCAAAATTCTTTTGAAGGATATTTATGTTCGAGACCAGTCCTTCTGTTACATTATATACGACCGAGTTTCACATAGGTTCTCGATATTTTCTTCTTCTTGCTGATAAGTCTAACACGACACCATTTTGCATTTCGTATGTTTAAAAACCCATGGCATGAAACTTCTCTCTTTGCTTGAGTCCTCAACTTATGATCTTCATAGAATCAGATTCTTCCCGCCAAATCTCCATTTCAAACCAAGCCCTTTTTTAGTAATCTTCACTCAAAACTACAGAAATTCTTCATATCAGTTCCATCCATTGATGCAAATCAATGCATCTCCCTCCGTTAGTAGGTGCAGAGCTTCAATGCCAGTTCCCGATCAAACCCAGTTTCGGGATTTCAAGACAGTGCTTTTCCTTTGCTTTAGCACTCTTCAAATCTGTGCCAGGATGGGATTTCTTTCTGAACGCAAACAAATACACGCGCATCTGTTCAAGTTTGGATTATATAATGTGCTTTCCTTGCAAAATCAGGTCTTGCATGCGTATTTCAAGTGTATGGAAAGTTCAGACGCGGAGAAGGTGTTTGAGGAATTGCCCGTGAGAAATGTAGTATGTTGGAACATTTTGATTCGTGGTATTTTTGACTGTGGTGTTTGCCATGGCTTGAATCCATGCTTGGTGTTTTCTTATTTTAAAAGGATGATGATGGAAGCGGCTGCTCCTGATTATATCACATTTAACAGTATGATTGGCTTTTGCGTTCAGTTGAATGATATTGACATGGGCACACAATTGCACTGTTTCACGTTGAAACTGGGATTTGATCTGGATTGCTTTGTGGGCAGTGCTCTTGTTGATTTATATGCAAAATGTGGCTTAGTAGATAATGCAAGATTGGTTTTTAGTTGTGTTGGGTTTAGAGATTTGGTTATGTGGAATGTGATGATCTCATGCTACGCCTTGAATTATTTACCTCAGGAGGCATGTGCCATTTTCAACTTGATGAGATTGGAAGGAGTAAAAGGGGACGGGTTCACATATAGTAGTTCACATATAGTATAAGTTCATGCGTTGCTTCTGAATGTTATGATTTTGGAAGGCAGATTCACAGTCTTATCCTTAAACAGTCATTTGATTCTGATGTTTTAGTGGCCACTGCTCTGATGAACATCTATGCAAAACATGAAAACATAACCGATGCACTACTGGTTTTCGACAAGATGGCAATTCGAAATGTGGTGTCTTGGAACACCTTAATTGTTGAGTGTGGAAAGCATGGGCATGGAAATGAGGTCATGAAGCTTCTTAGAAACATGCTACGTGAAGAAACTCACCCTGATGACTTGACTCTTTCCAGCACCATTAGTTCATGTGGGTGTGCTTCAGCCATTACTGAAACCAAGCAAGCTCATGCTCTTTCAATCAAATCAGGACTTGAAGAGTCTATATCTGTTGGCAATTCTTTGTTAACTGCATACTCCAAGTGCGGCATTATTGCTTGTGCATATACATGTTTCAGCTCAATCATACAACCTGATCTTATCTCATGGACTTCAATGATAAATGCATACGCATTTCATGGTCTTGCCAAAAAAGCTAATGAGACATTCGGGAAGATGTTATCTTGTGGGATAAAACCAGACAAAATATCTTTTCTTGGTGTTCTCGCTGCTTGTGCTCATTCTGGGCTTGTAATCAAGGGCCTTCATTACTTTAAAGTAATGACCGAGGTGTACCAGATCGAGCCTGAAACAGAGCACTATGCCTGCATAGTGGACCTTCTTGGAAGATGTGGGTATATACATGAGGCTTTTGAGTTGTTGAGGTCCATGCCAATAGAACCAGAGGGAAACACATTAGGAGCTTTTATTGGATCTTGCAAAGTACATGAACAGATGGCTCTGGCTAAATGGGCTGCAAAGAAGCTGATGATGATAGAGCCAAAGAAAAGTGCGAACTACACTGTGATGTGTAATATTTATGGTTGTTACAGGCGTTGGGGTGAAGTGGAAAGGTTACGCAGAAAGATGGAGGAAAGGGGCAGCTCAAAGGTCAGAGGTGGTAGCTGGATAGAGATTGGTGATGAGGTAAGTTTCTTTGTGTCTTGTGATAGATCTCAACCCTGAAGCTCTAGAAGTGTATGCTATGTTAATAATGGTTAGTACAATGAAAGAAGATGCCATTTTGGTTGTGTGAAGCTGGGAAAATTGTTAGAATACACCCTTCAACTTCAACTTCAACTTCAACTGATATAATTATATTTCGTAAGACAACTAATTTTAGTTACTTGTAATGGTAAACGATCATTTCAAAAACTATTTCTGAAGCACTTTTTTAATCTTTATTTTGGAGGATCCTAACTCATCAAAAGGTGTCACCTCAAATTGACTTGATTATTTTTTAAAGTAAGATGTAACTAACGGTGACAATGAAGTTAACTTCATTGTAACTTCCACTGCAATTCTGATTTTTTATCATTATATTTTTAAATACAACAATTTTTAATTTCAATAATATCATGAGTTGGAACATTTAGTAATTTATGAGTTCATATTAATTATTAAACCAAACACGCTATTTTATGATGATATCAAATAAACAATTTTATGTTAATAAATGATGTTGAGTCCAGTGAAAAGAAAAGAAGATCAAGAAAATAATGAAGAAAGTTAGTGTAGGTGACCTTTTAATGAGCAATATATGTAAAGCGATGGCTGTTAATACAAAAGGAGGGAGTAATTGAGGGGGTTTGCTTAATTTTTAATGCTCTGAAAGAATAAGCAGACATTAATGGCTTTTGTTGGGGTTGGGGGACTGTGTGTCTTGTTGAAGTTTCCCTGCAGCAACTTTTACTCCCTAAGTATCACCATTTCGGTCCTTGAGTGTTTCCCACGCTAATTTGCCTTCAACCAATGAAATAACAAACGACGCGGTACACTCCTATCGACACGCGCCCATGTGCGCGTGTGGGTATACAGTTTGATTTCTTGCTTTGTTACTCTCAAAATACATTTTTTCTGGGGATTTTGCTTTCAACTTCCGAGAGCGAAGCCAAAATATTATTCAATCAAAGCTGAAATACTTTTTATTCAACCGAGTTGTTGTCAATAATTTCTTTTGCTTGCAATTTCGTTTTTACAAAATTAAATACAGATCTATGGCTTTATGCATTATGTAATATTTTCTAAAAAGTCACTGATGTCATCACCGTCTCGTTATGTTAGTTTTCTGAATTTTGTGTGAAATGTTTTTTTTTAAATCTTCCTTTCTTGTAAATCCCATCCAAATTAATAATCCTTTATTTAATATTATAAGAGCTACAGTTAAAAAAGAAATATTCTGACATAATAATCCTTTATTAGTTGAGTGTCGTGCACCCCTGTCTGGGTTTGGGGCTTGGGTCACTTTTTCTGCTGGGTTTGGTTTTTTATAATTGTTGTTTTGCCTTTTAAAATACAAGTTAGTGAAAAATAAATAAATATTGGCATAGTTACATTAAATTTTAGTAACAAATTTTCCAATCAGGACCTGACCTGGCATGCACACAAATTATTTGGTATATACATTTTTTTATTTTTTATGATTTGCTAGAGATAAGTTTTGTTAATGAAGAATCATGAGAAGTTTTACTTTGTTTAAATAATCTAAACTTTTTTAACAAAGAGCCATTTCATATCTAGACGCTAATTTCATCCAACCTCATCTCTATGTTCTTTTTTAAATTATTTTTCCAATTCTTCATATGTCCCGGGCATCCAGGTTGATGATATTTTCTAACAAGTAAATATATTTTTATAGACTAAAAATAAAAACCCACCTGACGAAATGGAGGGGAAACAATTTTGCTGGATATAGACTAACTAATACATTCTATATTTATACTTTAGCTAAATTACACACAACTTTTCTAAATTTTAAAATTTAAACCATATATAAATAATCCTTAATCTTTAAAACTTAATAGTAAACTTCATTGAATTTTTAAGTTTATGCAAATAACCTCTAACTATCAATTATATATCTTCTTAAATTTTATTTTTGTGTGTATTTAAACCCTCAAACTTTGATTGATGTATGAATAACTCTTATAAAATTTATGTTATGTGTTAATAATTAATGTATAAAATTAATCATATCGAGTTATCTGTATAAATATAAGAGTTGAGGGAATTTTTTGTAAAGTTTTAAATGTTAAGGAAATTATGTGTATATAGTTTAAAGTGTAGGAAAATAATTTATAATTTAGCCTTATACTTTAATGACATGACAATACAAATGGCAACACTTTAATTTTTAATTTTTATGGACATAATAGACAAGATCAAGGCTGCAAGTAACGCCTCTGCATTATAAAAAAAATTCATTTGTTAGTTATGTTTATTATATTTTTTAAATCAGGCTTTCATTAAATTACAACTTCTGTTCTGACTTGGTATGCGTCCCAATCAGGATAGCAATTTTTTTTTTTTTTGTGGAAAAAAAAACGGAGTATGTGGCACAGGAGGATAGATACATTGCATATGCGGTATTCCATTGGGTTCTCTTTATAAAAAAATAAATAATAGTTTGAAATAGGTCAAGTAATAAAATTAATATCAATAAAAATCAGAATTTTTCTCTACATAACTTTTATCAATTGCTTGACAAGAGAAGCTGCCAAGCTGGTAACTGTGTATTTATGAACACTAAATTACTAATTCAATTATGACGACTCGATGAAGAGAAAAGGAAAATTTTTAACAAATACAAGGGATTTATATTAAGGGAAAAACAAACTTATTTATTATAAGGAGACCCAGGGATACCATTAAGCTATGCGACTAATTTATATTACTGATTTTCATTTCCAGAAATTCATATTTATAGCGTGGGCTATAAAATTGAAAGATCAGGATCTTCCCAACAAACATGGAAGTTGAAAAATTGTTATCTCTCTTTTATTTCATGAAATATTTTTGGTTTTTAGAGGTGATTTGATGCCTCAAAACATTAAACATTTTGAAGAAAAAGATTTTATTAATAATAATCATTTTAATATTACTTTTCATTATTTCACTACTTAAATAATTTTCACCCCCTCATATCGGATATTTTTAAAAATTTATAAAAATTAAAATTATAAAATATTTAATAAGCTTTATTAGTATGTATAATTTTATAAAAAATTTTTATAAATTAGGATGAAGAGTATATTAATCTCTTCTGATTTATTTATAAGGTAAAATAATATATATTTTGATTTTATTTATAAAATACCTCTCTAATTCTTATGTTTATTTTTATATTTTTTCCTATTAAATATTAAAAAAATTATTAACGTTGAGTATTTTATTTTTAAAATATATATACCTATTTAATAAAGATAAATTTAAAAACTTATTACAGATTTAAATGTAGCTAGTAAAATTTAATATTTTTTTGGATTTTAATAAAACATGAGAAAGAATATGAATGAACAAATCTTAAATAAATGTTTTTGACTGAAATTGCGTCCGCCATCTTATAGCCTCCCACTAGCATTGGGCAAATGAGTTACGGATCAACTCAAGTTAGCTTGTAAATGCTAGAATTTTTGTGGTTGGGTTGGACTAATCCGTTAAATAAAATGGATTAAAAAACTCAATTCAATTTATTTTTTAACAGGTTAGCCAACTCGCAGGCTGGCCAGTAAAAAATTATCAATTTTTTTTAACAATTTAAAATTTATATAATATAAAAATATATCTGTATTTCATATTTTAAAGTAAATTAACAATTAAAGAATTTGTACATAAATAAAATAAGCATAGAATTCAATTAAGAAAATTTATTTTGCTGGATCTTCTCACTTAGGTGTGTTATCTTTCTCAATAAAAAAAATTAAATATAAATTATATTATTTTTTTAATAAATTTATGTTTATGATTTTAATCAATAGATATTATGAGATTAATAAATAATACATATTCAAAATATTTTCATAATAAATTATTGATTTACAAATTATAACAAAAATTTTATTTACAAATTGTAAAAAAAATTTACACTATATTTTAAATATAAAGAATATATTTAGGAATTATAAATTATATATTTAAAAAATATTATTATTATTGTAGATTTATAAAAAGATATAATATAATTAAAAAATAAAAAATTATTTTTTAAAAAATATGTTAACTTGCAAGCTAATTTGTTTTAACTTGTTTGTTTTATGGATTGAGCTAATCCAACCTAATTCAACCTTTTTAAAGAATGAATTAATTTATTCAACTCAATCCGTTAAATTTTACAAGTTAAACGAACTAGCCACAATCCAACTCATTTGCTCGGCTTTACCTCTCGCTACTGCCATGGTCAAATGTAACATACCTGCGGGGGTAGGTCCCCCAACTTTAACATTAGAATAAATAAATAATGAACTTTATTGTTTTAATTACATTTCTCTACGTTCAAGTAAAATATTCTAAATATCTGCGGAATGATATAATACCTCAATTCTTCAATTCGAGAATATACATTTTTAACTTAAAATTTTAATTTTAAAAAAGCAATTTATAATAGTTTCATCAAAGAATAGTTTAAATATAATATTTCAACTAATTAAACAGATTTGCGCAGGAATTTATATATTTATGGTAAGAAGTTGTCAAAAATAGTTATTTGCTTGTATGATCTTAATTTTTGTTGAAAAGTAAATTATACTTAGTTTTAAATAAATAAAATTCACATTTTGATTTCGTAAGAGTTGGGAGAGGAAAGTCGCTGCCACGGCCATTATTGTTAAATATTAAATATTAAGAGAACGTTGGCAGTTGAATGATTATGAAGGCCGGAACTCTTAGGACCAGCTATTGCTTCCCCGCCACTTAAATGAAAAGTCCAATTTCCCATTCTCGTCGCCGGAGCTCCGGCTCCGGCTACCGCACGCCAGACCACCGCCACGGCTACTCCTCCAGCTATGATTCCTCCGGGGTTGGTACCACCATCGTCAGGTCAAACGCCTCCCGGAACCCTGTCGCGGCTGCCGCCAGATCAGTGGCTGCCGTTTTTGTTGCTTGCTTCACCCCGCCAGACGAGAGTAACTCCAAGAGCTTCGTCGATGACCGGGAGTTCAAAGCTTCCTCCTCCTCCTCCTCCGGTAGTCTCCTTTTCTCAGTTTGCGCTGTACAATACGGGGGGGAAGAGAGCATTCTATTTGGGTGGTGTTGGTGGGAACGTGTTGTGGTTCTCTGTGTGTTTTGGTTCTGAACTTTGAATCTTCTTTCTTAGTTTGAGGTTTCCATTTGAAGCTGTGTATACTGTTTGGCTGATGAGAAAACTGTAGAAATGTGTAGACTGGCTGATCGTGTTGAAATATTTTGTGGGTATGATGATCAACTAAGCATACCTGACGTAGTAAATCTTACGAGTCCCTCCTTAATAGGGTTCCTACTTGAGTGAATAATTTCTTCGATTCATAATCCTGGCTTGGTTATATCTTTGGTTGGTGAGCAAAATCTTGAGGTCATTATAATCAGATAATGAATTACTGCCTCAAGTATGAACAATACTCTGAACTCATCCCTTGCAACCCTCTTTTGTCCCTGCTAGTGTTTTTGCACAAGCTGAGAGAGGCATTCTGACTTAATGGGAGGGTGTGACAGTGCCCTCCTCGATTACTTTCACAAATTTGGCAGAACATCCAATGCAATTGCATAGCTTAGTATTTGAGTAGCAGATTTTCAAAACGGGAAGGATGATTATTTCAGAATAACTAATTGTGTTTGTTTCTTAGTTGTATCCAATTATTCGCACGGTTCAAATGGACGAATCAGTTCCAGTTCATACAAGTCAACTCAGAGAAAAGAGCCTAGATCTCTGAATTTCACCATGGAGGATATCTTGCAAGCCACAAGAAACTTCTCCGCTGCTTACAAGGTCGGCCAAGGTGGTTTTGGTACAGTGTACATGGCAAATCTCCGGGATGGAAATGTTGTTGCAGTAAAGCGTGCCAAGAAGGTTGTTCTTATTCAACATTTCTCTGCTTGGTTGTGTCACTATTTTGAGTTTCGTAGTTATTGGTGAAAGTTCTTAATTAATTACCTTGCTTTGCAGAGTTTATATGAGAAACATTTGGGTTTTGAGTTCCAAAGTGAGATCCAAACATTATCACGGGTTGAACATTTGAATTTGGTGAAGTTCTATGGATATTTGGAGCAAGGAGGTGAAAGAATTATCGTTGTGGAGTACGTCCCAAATGGAACCCTTAGAGAACATTTAGATTGTGAGTTTCTTTTACTCCCCCCTCAGTGAAGGTTTTACTTATTCTCTTCGTGATTTTGTTTTGTCCTTGCCCCACTTGCAAGAACTTTAAACTGTATTTGTAACTTGGTCAAAGGAATATCGCAGGCATTCGCGGGAGCATTTTGGACCTTGCTTCTCGACTAGACATTGCGATTGATGTGGCTCATGCTATCACCTATCTTCATATGTATATAGGTATATATAAACTCATTGCCTTCGAGACCATATCACCGGAACGATCATTTTAGTCATGAAAAAGGGCCAAGTTCTTTGATCCTGGGGGTACTCCGAAAGATCTTACCGGCATTGCATTTCTGTATTTCCTTTGCAGATCATCCTATTATTCATAGAGACATCAAATCTTCCAACATCCTTCTTACTGAAAATTTGCGAGCTAAGGTAGCTGATTTTGGTTTTGCTAGACAGGCCCCTGACAGTGATTCTGGTGTGACCCATGTATCCACCCAAGTTAGAGGAACTGCTGGCTACTTGGATCCTGAATACCTCAGAACCTATCAACTAACTGAGAAGAGTGACGTTTATTCATTTGGCGTCTTACTTGTTGAACTTGTCTCAGGTAGACGTCCCATTGAACCAAAATTTGAACTGAAGGAGAGAATCACGGCAAAATGGGTGCGTTTCCCTTTTCCTTACCGATGTTTAATCATGCTCAGAATAATCAACATTTTGAAGTTTGGCGCCTCATTTCCAAGATATATGTTATTGTGATTAGTAGAGGGTGTGATAGTTCGTTACTTTAATCTGACATGGTTTCGCATTAGTGCAGGCTATGAAGAAATTTGTTGAGGGTGATGCCATATCGGTCTTGGACCCAAAACTAGATCACACTGCTGCAAATAACCTGGCACTTGAGAAGATACTTGAACTAGCCTTGCAGTGTTTGGCGCCTCGTAGACAAAGCAGACCTAGTATGAAGAGATGTGCCGAGATCCTTTGGACCATCCGCAAGGATTACAGGGAGCTATCAACTTCAGATTTTTGTTCATTTTCCTCTACTTCCCAGAGGAGCGCGTCAATAAAAGAGTGAGAAACGCAAAAAGATTTCTTTGAAGGATAAATAATATGCATTCATCAAAGAACCTGAGGTCTATATATTGATCTCTATTCCTTGAAATTAATATGCACAAATTGTTCCTTACGAGTAACAAACTCATCACTAGTTAGTTCTTTTGATGTCACTGAATCTCTTGGCGAAAGATTCATATGCAGTTTGTTGTTTTACGAGGATTAACGTGTGCTGTTACAGACCAGAGCTAGATGGATGTAATAATTCAGCGATCGAATAGTTGTTTTAGAATTAAGGATCATCAAGAAATTTGAGTGTGTGGATGGGTGGAAGTTGATGTGCTGGTAATACAGTGGAACTTGTAGATAGAATTTTGGCTTGTGTAAAGGAACTTGGTAGCTTTTGCTCCAGAAAGACCAGTCCTGTGCATTCTGTGATTTTTTTTTTTTTTTTTTAGCATGGAACTAAGAGAGCTTTGCGAGGAGGAAAACTCTGATGTAACAGTTGGGCACCTATCTCATAGATCTGCTAATATTGGATGTAGTTATCTATAAATTAGTTTGGGTTAAGGTGCATTTTTTCCTCTGTATTTTCCTTTGAACAGTGCTAGGTATCCTGTAATAATAAGTGTGGTATTTTTTCCTCTTAAACTAAACCGGGGATTTTTGTTCCTCAAAATGGTTTAAGGGGAACAATTCCTCACTTATTAGCAGAGTGTTTAGCGTTCTTCAAAGAAAAGTTCAGAGGAAAAAAATAAAAGCATTTTAACTTCAACTAATTAGTTTTATACAATTTGATTTCCATTCTTGAGAACTAATTCGCATGATGGTTTAGAACCACATTTCCAATCATGGGTTTGCCTTGTGGCAAAACGTGACTTGGGCTGGAATCAAATATGTCCCCAAATGCACTTTTAGTTGACTGAGTAGAAGTACCAGAAACATACATCATCCATAGGGACATGATAGCTACAACTAAACTAAGTGGTTGTTGACAAACTAGACTAGTTCCTATTTTAACGTTGGATTCAATTAACTAACCAATATGTCAATTTGTTGCACTCTCGAAAGATGTCGCTAATTTCATTAACGGATCTTTTCTTGAAGCATCTTCAATTTAGGTGCTCAGGTGATGCCAGAGGGAGATTGCTAAATCTTTACTACTAAGATTAATTGCAGTTTGAGGATTTACTTCAACCTGGAGTTTCTTAGGACCTGTTTGATGGAATAGTTTTCTATTCTTCAGAACAAAAGAACAAAAAAACCTGTTTGATAACGTGTTTTTAAAATATATTTTAGAGAACAAAAAAATAAAATATTATTTTGAAAAACAGAAAAATAAAAATAACTTTCAGGTGTTCTGGGATTATTGTTCTGAAAAATAAGGAAGAATGAGAAAAATATTTATTTTTATTATTTTTTTATTCTCAAAACATGTTTTACAAAACACTAGTTTTCAAAATAATAAAATAAAAACAATTTCAAACAACCCCTTAATTTCAAATTTCTTTGGAACACGTTCATGAATATGCTCGTCCGATCGGATTATTTGAGCTAACCAAAACGGGGAGACCACTTGATTCGGAGTACATATAGCGTTGTTTACTTTTTTTCCCTGGTCCATGGCTGTACAGTGGATGTGGATCGATACTAGTTTCATTTTATATTTAACTTTCACACAAACACTAAAAATATAAAATGCTGTATTACAAATTTATTTCACCGATAATGGTTAGGTCAAGTAGAATGGACTATGAGTTTGAGAATTCAAATCTTAATAATATATATAGTAAAAGCTACACTATAATGCTCAAGTCTGGCTTCATAATACCCAATATCAAATAGTTATTTCAAGTAATTTTCCCTCAACGGTTCTTGGGAAAGGTCTAGCCCTTGACTAAAACGCAGTCTTATTCACAATACTGTGTATTTATTAATTGAGAGGATATAAAATTTGAATGTTAAATGTAAGTTGCCTCCATTTGGTAAAAGGAAAAAGTATCATGTCAATAAAACTGAGTTGAAAAGAATGTATATGAGTGAAAAAGATACATAATTTAATGCTCTAAAACTTTGAGATAAGATATAGTGCTATGCCTATTTAGATGTATCCTTTTAAATAACAAAATAGTTATTTTGTCACCTATAGATCTTGTTTCTATTTTTATCTACCTCTTGACTTAAGCAATATTGATTGTGAATAAAATTTTCATATAATACTTCAAAAAAGATATAAATGTTATGAAAAAGGAGATAGAGAAATTGTGAATACAGCAGTCCATTGCAAAATTGATGCGTTTAGAATTTAATTACATTGTCTTTTTAAATGAAATGTTAGCTTAATTTTTTAAAAAAAATAAATATTCAAATATCATCCAGACACACCGGTTGCTGATGCCTTATTGGATTGAATCTCAAGGCACACTTATCTTTTGTCTAGATGCATCATACGATCTATATATAGGTTAAAGTACATATTTAGTCTTTTAATTTTACATGATGTTTCATTTTAATCATTTAACTTTATAAAGTGTAATTTTAGTCATTTAATCCTAATATTTTTGGTTTCATCTCAACAAATTTTTACATTAAATTTTTAAATATTAACAAAATATTATCAAATGTTAACATATTAAATTTAAGTTTTTCAAAATAACAATGATTGACATAAAAAAAATCATTTAAAATAAATAGCATTATGATTAAAGACTAAAAAGATATTTTATAAAATTAAAAAATTAAATTAAAACTTCATATAAAGTTAAAAATTTAAATATACTTTAACTTAATGATGTGTTAAAGTATAAATTTAATCCTAACTTTTTTAAAAAACACAATTGACATCCTACAACTTAAAAAGTGCAATGTCAAGCCACATTTAAAAAATAGGGACAATGTCAACAATGTTAATTTTTTCCGATAGTTCCCACATACAAATGTTGCATATGCCTGATAACTTTTGACCAGTGCCACATAGATCTTCTTCCTCCTTAATTTGACTTCACATCAGGCAAATAAAAAGACAGTCTTGTTGGATTTTAATGGCGATAGCCGCGATCCTGTTTTCCACCCTCTACTTTTTGTTAATGATCTAAGTTAGGCTGGATTCTTTCTTTTTGCAACTTTTTTCCTCTCGTCGGTGTATCATATATCTGGTCAGGAGCAGCCTCTCACTTTTGGGCGAGAAGCACCAAAGGTTCTCTGCCTGCAAGACATGCTTTCTTCCTCCTCCCACCCACTCGCAAAAGCCATACTCCCTTGGATTTGAAACACTTGAGGCATGCACCCTGACCGTGGTAGCAAAAACAATCCATAGCATTTGAGATTAATATACCCAGACAAAGCCAGATTAATCCAAATCATTCGAATCAAGAATGAAAAAAAAAAAAACCAGTCACGTCTAGGTAAACAAAGTGATAGGGACAAATAATTCCAAGCACTCAATTTCTAGTCCTATAGAGAATATTCAAGATTCAGAAAGAAGTTTGTCATAAGCCCAAGTTTAAAAGGAGAGTCCATCCATAAAGATCAGCTTCTTGGGTAAAAGAGCTCTTCAAACTTATAAATCTTGTAATATCCAAATAAATGAGACCTTAGTAAAATTTGAGAATTCAAGTTGATTAGAGGTCTTAGTGTCCTTTAGGATAGGGTGTTAACCCCAAGTTTGGAGGCTGAATGAGAGTGGAAGGACCTTAATTAAGTGGGACTGAACTGTGACATTTGCCTAGGCGAGTGGGTTAGCTCATTGGAGTGAGAAGTGTAAAACTCACCAAGGCGGGTGGGATGTCTTGCCGAGGCAAGTAGTGCGTTTCAAGAAAATTATAAATAGACATCTCAGTTGAAAACTAAAATCAAAAATCACTTTCAAATACTTTAGAGGTGTGGTTTGAGTCCTCTCTACTAGGGTTAGCCTCCGATGACCTAAGGAGCCTTGATTGAGTTAGATTTCACCAAGGTAAGTCATCTAAGATCAATCTACACCTTCTAGATCTCTATTCTATAGATCTAACGAATGAGATCTTGCCTTGGGCTCAAATCTCATATTTGAATTCTTAGAGTTTATCTGTCAGAGTCTTAAAAAGAGTTCTAACTGATTCAATTATTTATATAAAACCCATCTATAGTGTAAGTCCATCCTCCTAGAAACTATCTGGATTTGAGTACAATAAAACTTATGAGTGAGAGATTGAACCTTTAATCTTTCAAACATTTGAGATAGCTGGGGATTTAAATTAATATATATTATAGTCTGTAACACTACCTGGAAGATTATTTATGCCATTCCACTTACTAAAATTTTGGGTTCCATTTGAGTTTTGAAATCTGAATGTGACATGTTGATTCTGTGAGATGCTATGAAAATAATTTGAGTATGTATAGTATGTTTATGTGTTATCTAAAGTATAAATAATTAATGGTATACATGATGAAATGTTGTACCTTGTAAATTGGACTATGTATGTGAACTCTGAAAAAAAAAACTACTTTGAAATATCTGCATATATAAATTTGATGATCTGAATACATGAATAACGATGGGAGTTCACCTGTAAGGGGAAATATGAATATTATAAAAATCCATGGTCTGCCTACTAACGTCACCTCTCAGTAGTGAATTATATGAATATATGTTCGTGCATGTGTGCGCTTAGTTTTAGTACTCAAATTGGCAATGTTGGTCGGGCACTTACTCAGGTTCACTGCTTGGATGGGCAATATCGATCAAGCATATCATGACGCCCTGAAGGTTGAGTAAGGCGAATCATGGTCTAAACTGAAATGAGAAAGCCTTTGGCTGAGCAAAACCTCTTAATTTAGAGAATGGAAATGGCATAATGATGTGGACTTGAGCTACAGTGAGTTGCGCATGAGTTTAGTCAGAGGTGATAAGGAAGTTATAAGGAAGATTTGAGCATGCATCATCTAAGACATGTTTTCTTATGAATCATCATGGAATTAATTAACTAATATAAAATCTAAAATATATCTTGTTAGTGGTTTAAGCTGAATGTGATGACTATATGAGTTGTATGTTACCACTATTTTACACGTTAATCTAAATATGTTAATTATTGAAATTTTGTATGAAATCTTATCCCATTACTTTCACTATTTCTAGAAGATGATAAGGGCAAGGATAAAGGTGAAGTCTCGAGAACAAAACACTGGAGCTACAAAGGCTTCTAGTGAACTCTTCCATAATGTATTATTATTATATCTTGCTAATTATAGGGACATAAAGATTTAGGTTTATATTTTGTGTGAATTTCATATTTGGAACATTTGTGGTATTTTGGCCTAAATTGGTTTAAAAGAGGCCTAATATTATGCTTAAGAACTTAAGAACTTGAGCTGGGTTTTGGCTTGTTTATTTGTGATTATTCAATTTAATTTCAAAGAATGTTTGGGGAATATCTATATGAGTGCTTTATGACTTATCAAATCTAATTCTAAATGGGGAATTTATGAATTTCCTGTGAAACATACCAACCTATTGGGTGAGTAAGTCGCTTTTCACTGAGGTGAGTAAATGCTTGTCGAGGTGAGTTAAGCTATAGGTCGAGGTGAGTATGCATGCCGGGGTGAATAATTCTGCAAGCCAAGGTGAGTAAGTAGGAACTTGTCTAGGGAAGTCTTATATATATGAGTTTTATATGTTGAATGCTTTTAAATAGTTGCTAAACTTTATAAAATCTAATTATCTTATTTTAAGAGATGTACAACTTTAAAGCTAGCTTAATCTCCTTAAAAGATTGATGTATGTTATAATTGGGGGATATTGACTGGGGTCATTACAAACCCCATATCACTTGTAAGGTTTCTTAATGTGGGATTCATTACAATGCTATTTCGTCGAGAGCCAACCTTCCTAGTGATTCCATTCTACGACAATTTTACTCTATTAACTACAGATCAGAATCCTCCATAGGTATCCCTTTTTGTAACACCAGTCTATAAATGAAAGCATTAAATGTAATAATCAGATTAATATAAGGTAGAAATGATAAATGCTAAACCCATATATTACATATATTAGCTCAAATCATTAGTAAAGAGCATTATAAGTGAGAGCAAATTCAACAAAATGCATCAAAATGGGACAGAAAATAATGTTAGTCTTAAAAAGCAACTCATAAGTTAAGACGAAATCACACCAAACTTTTATTGGAGCCGATGCTACAACTATCTAACACTGGTAGCTACTCAAGTGTTGTCCATACTACATAAATTTATAATATAATTACTTTCCAACTAGGGTGAATTCCCACCCATTCCAATTCACAATCATGCCATCAATACTAATAAGCTCAATCATGCATATAAATACAATAACACACGCCAACATATTTAATTTCTTACTTGTCACATTCAATTACATAAACATAGGTATATTTCAAAATTCAATTCCCATTATTACTATTATAATATAATCCATTCGAATTTTTCACAATATTCAACAATTCATCTTATATAAACATAAAATGGCATTTTCATATATACTTAATATAATATTTCATGAATTATAAATACTAAAAACATTTAAATAATTATATGAGAAAATTTAGATTTTCAATTACTCTCACCCCTTGAATCACATAAAAGGAGCACCCATTGACACAATTCAATTCCAAGCTCTCAAATGCTCTAAGAGATTTAAGGCTTGTTTGGTTCCTGTTTTCATTTTTTATTTTTAAAAATTATTTTGTAATATAGTTGTTAAAATTATTTTTAAAACAAAAAATCTATTTTTTATGTCAATTGAAAACAATTTTAGAATTACAAAATTAATTGATAGCAATGGTTACAAACAATTAATAGTGGTGATTAATAATAAAAAATAATTAATGTAACTATAATTTTTAATAATCAAATGTGGTGTATTTTAAAAATAAAAAAATAAAATCAAAACAACTTATAAAGTTGTTTCTATTTTAAAAAAAACAAAAAATGATAATAGTTTTTGAAACAACTAAATGAAAAACACTTATCTAAATAAATTTTTAATTTTTTTTATTTTTTAAATAAAAAGTAATTTTTAAAAACAGAAAATAAACAGGCCCTAATAGAGTTTAGTCTATAATTAAGCAACTCACAATTATCAATCCATAACCAAAACACATCATCTTCCTAGCTACTAATTTTAACTCAAAAATTCCAAAATTTAATTTATTAGATAATCTTGCTATCTGATAATTTCATTAGCATTATTAGACCTTTATGAGTCTAGCTAAACTCATTAACCACTAACAAAACCCTCACATTATCCATTTCCAATATAGAGTTTGTTCAAATCAATAAAAAATTAGATAAAATATCCAAATAATTTATAACCACTATTCTAATAACAATAATATACTTCCAAACAACTCATTTCATCTATCTATATCTATATCAGCCAAAACTTTTCCCTATGGTCCAAACAACTAGAAATTCTAAAATAAAGGAAATCTCAAATCTTTCACTGTTAAGAATTTGAAAATAAAGTGAAAAAAATATACTAAAAAAATATTTAATTAAAAAATTTATCAAGTCTTAAAAAGTTTAAAATAATCTTCAAAGTACCATATAATATAAGCTTAGCCTTTAAAATCTCTTCCTCTCAACACCATACTCTGTTTCACCAGCTTTCCTCTTCTCTGCTCGGAACTGCCGATGTGGGAGGGGAACGGTGGAATAAAATATTAATATGGGTGGGTTAACTTTTAAAACTCACATATGGGGGCCATATATATTTGGATTGTGGGTGGGATGTTGCGTAGCCCGTTTCTTCTAATTGCACTACTATAATTTTCCCTTTTCTTCCTTCTTTTTAACTCTATCCAGTGTGTGCGTGTGTGTATTCTTAGACTCTTTAAAATTGTAAAGACTATGAGTTAAGTTTATATTTTTTTTATTTAAATAATTTTTTATAATATTAAGATATTCATAATAATTTATTTTAATTTCACCTAACCTTATTTATTTATTTTAAAAAACTGTCTTAAAATAAAGTCATTAAATTAATTAATATCTAGTTTATTTTATGTGTTAGTTTAAATTTTTGGATTGTATACATGTCATAGTACTTAAAAAACAGTTTAGCTCGGAGAAGCCATTTGAAAACTTCTTTTCTGTCAAACCTGGGGAAGTCCAACTTGACAAGCTCTTTTTTTTTTAAAAAAAAAAAAAAAAAGAGCGGTGGAGGGGGAGCCCCCCTTTCTCTCTCTCTCTCTCGATCTCGACGGAGAGCCAATCTTCTCATGTCCAGGTTGTTCGAATCTTTGATTCAGAGTATCAATCGATTATAAAACCACTTCTTGCAACCTTTTGAGCCTGTGGAATCGATCTCTCGCTTCTACGACAAACTCGCTATTTTTCTTGACATCAGCTTAAAGTCCCTTGAATCTAGTACTCTCAGCCATATACCTCTCAATAACACTATTAATATCATGAATACAAACTCAAAAAGAGAGTCTATCCTAAAAGATGGGCATGTTAGACATGAGAGCTCCTCAAACTTTAGAAAGCTCACATCATTTGTGAGGTTTCTCCAGATGAGACTCATGACAAAGCAGCAGCGCGGACACACGAAAGGTTTTCTGGCCTTCTGCGACTCCGATGAATTGAAAGCAAAAGAAAGGAACGACAAGGAAAGAGTACAGCGATGAGGAAGGTGGCGAAGAAATGGTGGTGAAGACGGAGGGGAAGACATGCGAGAAGCCGAGCAAGTTCTTCTCGGGAGGATGCATTGGGACGACCGCAACAAACAGTGCGACTATCTCTGCAGGAGAGGCGAAGGACTGCTCAGTGGCGCCTGCAAGGGCCTCAAGTGTGTCTGCACCAAATCCTGCTGATCATAACCTCTTCATCATATGGCATGTATGTGTATCATCATACTTAAATAATTCACACACACACACACACACACACACACACACACACAGGTCCGTACATAGTTAACGACGTGTTTGATGAAATAAGCTCTCATTTCGGCTATCTCTGATCTTCTGTGGGGACAGTTGAAATAGGTTGCAGATGCATGAGAATGCTAGCTAGCTTACCCGCTGGCCTTTATATGCTCTCTAGCTCTCACTGTGTAATACAGTTTATATTTTGAAGCCGCCCTTTCTTAATTATGACTTGCTCATTCCATCTCCATATATAAGATGATTTTGATTGAATCTCATATATCAATAAACATTTGTCAATTAGATGACATAAAGCTGCGACAATTTTTTAATTTTACCTTTAATTAATATTATAGTAGTTGGTTGAAAACACGATTAATATCTCATCCAATTTTCAAGGTGAGGACTGAAACAGTCTAGCTAATTACTCAATATTAGTATCAATATATCATTATAAATATATAACGAGATATATTTATAAACAGAACACTGACTAGTTAAACTTAATTACTCAAATTTTATATATAATATAGTCATACATATATTAGCCATATCGATACCAGTTTCTTATAATAAGACCACGTTACGACTTACAACATTTTCCATACATCGACGCGAGGGCTTTAAGGATGAATTTCAAATTTCAATAATAGTATGACTTATTATAGATTTTATCGTGGCACTTTTTCAATGCAGGATGGTACATATATGTAATATTACTCTAAAAAAATGGGGCCGTTGATGAGGACTGATTTAGTGTGCCGAAGTAGATGTCTTAAGCAAAACATTTGGCCTTAAATTTTAATCAAAAGCAACTATATGATCTCATGGATAATTCTAAAAGAAAAAAGGTATCGTTAATTGTAAAGATTATTTATACATGTACACGATTATTGATTGTAAAGATTGATTAAATGAGTAAAAATATAACTCATACCCCAGCAAATTAAAAGCAGGTAGCTAGGGGTTCAAATTCCAAAATGCTAAGGGGCTTTGTTGGTAGATAATATATAAATATCTTTGCAAATTAAACATGCTTGTCTTGGTGGGGGGTTTTTTTTTAAGTAAAACTTATCTTAATTAAACTCATAAATGGCCAAAAAAATAGTATGATTATTAAAAGGATACAGAAGTTGTTATTACATGCAATCGAACTGAGACAGCTGATATTGAAAATGGTTGATGCAAATTAGAAATGTTTAATCATTAAAACTTGAATGATAGATACAATTCAAACCTTTACATTGCAAGTTTCTTTCAGTCAAGCGCCAATTTTAAAATCAAAAGACTTTTGATAACACTAACAAGGAAAAAAAAATAAAGAAATAGAACTCTAACAATACTTGAATATTTTTGCAGAGGTTTTTTTTGTCATAACGGGAACAATTTATGTCTTATTATGAAATTCTCATTTATAAGTCTTTTATTTAGGCCAACATTTATCACATTCTGTTCAATACATCGAACACGTGTCTAATTTAATTTATTTAAAAGGCGCAAATCTAAAATGGGTTAAAGAGGTGCTTCCGAATAGTTTGAAATTAATTTAAACTAACTGGAAGTTCTTCAAGCTAGTCAGCTTAGGGATAGTCCGGGAAAAAATTAAAATAAAATAATTAAAAAGCCAATTTAAGAATTATAAAGAACTTTCTAAAACAAAGTAATGATCAAATGAGTTATCTCAAAAGCAATAATGATTACATGACAAAAACTCTGACCCATAACCTCTTCCCCAACAACTAAACTAAACCCTTCTCAATCATTCTCCTACCTTTGATCATAGAGCCAGTATAGACAAAAATTATTAAATATTAGGAAAGAAAGAAAAAAGAAAGAATGATAGCAGCAAATCTTAAGCACAAAAGAATGTACAAACATATACTGCTTCCTTTGATGTCTTCTCAGGAATTAAATCCTCTAAAGTCTAAACCATCCATTTTACTTACACAGCCTATGTATTCCATAGAAAACTTTTATCCACTACCTCTTGAAAGTGAATCTTGACGAGTCAGAGCATAGTTTCCACTTGCAGGTGATTGATTCTCACTATCAACAATTTTTGCCTTTGAACAAAGGAACAAGAAAGAAGATGCGTATATTGTGATGTGCCACATGCTGTAAACAATGTACAAGACCAAAACATCAAAAGACCGGTAGAAGGGGGAAAAAAACAAGACATGGATTCAGTTCCTCTCAGATTCCTAGGAAATTGACAGCGGCAATTTGAAAATAATACATGAAGGCCTTAAGTCTCATACACAATATGTCTATCTCTCTTTGAAATCGACACGGTCAATTTCTAAAGAATTGAGAGAATTCAAATGAGATAAGTGCACACTGGGAAACAAGTTACCTATGCCAAAACCAATATGTTTGACTAGTTTCAAGCTTCCAGCTTATGCCAGCCATGGACAATGCCACAAAACCAGCCAATAAGAAACCCCATCGGAACCGTCTCAGAAGCGTCTTCATGAGATTATAGAGCCGTTGCTTTATAATTTCCAAGCTGCAGTAGAAATTCATACATTCCTAATGTTAGCAGTGACTAGACACTAAGTAACCTGTCTAGAAGATGCTCCTGAGTTACATCAGCACACAAGGTAACTCTGAAAAGACCTGAAAAGTTGTTTTCCTAAATGGCATTTGAAGCAGTCATGAAGAGATCATTATTTCAAATACCACTTTCCTTTTTCTCTCCTAGGAATATTAACTGTTACAACAGTGAGAGTGTGATGGTTAATCTGTAGTGAATCCCAGGTTTAATGGTGTAAAGATGCAATCAGCCGCATAATGCAATTTCAATCTATACCAACACCATATTATCAGATCAGGGTAAATATTTCTATTATCTGTGCCACCCTTTGTGGCTTTGTGTAACCTAATTTATAGTTACAAAAGTCAATCAATTTCATGTACAAGTCAAAGTTGACGTAATAAGAAGAAAAATAAAGACAAAGTTGACTGCAGAATGAAGGGGAATAATAAAGAAGAAACAATCAAAACATCAGAACAATACAAGAATGACTCTTCCGTCAACTTTGGTCTATGCATGCCATTATTAATTAAGTAGAGGAAACTAGTGTCCAGAAAAGGAAAAAATAATAAGGAGAGATAGCTCACCTGTTAATGGAATTTAATGAAAACCCAATTGAGAAGGAAAGTGACCTATACTTTGATGAGATTTCTATCAACCAACCAATAAGAAGACCAACGCCCCCAATGACTATTACAAGAACTATGTTAGAAGACCTGTGCAATTCAGCCAAAAAAAAAAAAAAATTACCTACCAGTACTCTTAACATCTTATACTGTAAATAACTACACGAATATCTGTAATAAATAGTCTAGTATACCTGGTTGCTTTTGTTGCAGCCATGAGAGCTGTAAGGATAGCAACTGCCGCATGAATTGCCCTCTTAAACACTTCATCAATGGTAGCAAGGTAAACAAAAGTGCTAACCACAGCCATGAAAGATAGCCAGAAGTCCATGAACTGAAAGATTGTTATGTAATATGTAAAACCATACTAATCCTTCAAAACAAAGTTATAAAGAGAGTGTACGTTCCCATATGCAAAAGCAATTATTGCACTGTCTTAATGTCTTAATTTTCCAGATATCAATATTCTATAAAGCAAGTCACTTTTTGGACCCCACAAGAAGTTATGTGTATGTGCTAACAACGATTGATAACAATAGTTATCACATCTGTTAAGAACACAACTCCCTTAAGGCAGTCGACCATCTTCTTAATTGCATTTCTATAAGATTTCCAGCTCAAAAATATTTATTTCCACATATTAAACAAACAACGGAAGCAGAGCTCTAACCTGCAAGACATTGTAGTTCAATGCACACCACGTGCCTACATCACAAGCGTGGTATAGTGCACTCGAAATTCCACTGGATGTGAATAAAATCCACTCTGCAAATGCCTGCATGAAGGGAATTATTGGTTCAATTGCGACGTATAAGTTATACAGGGATCATTTTTCAATCAGAGATTCAAGACTAATAATCATTAAGAGTTAAAATAAAATTACTTCTTTTATTATTTCAATTCAAATATTTTATGACACAAGATTCTAAGGTTGCCAATCTCCACCTCAGTTTGTTATTTTAAATAGCTAGATTCTAGAATCAGGAACTAGAATCAGGAACTCTTCTCAACATATTAGTTTATATGTTAGTTTTAATAGTTCCAACTTTCAAGATGACGCCGTAAGTTAATTCCTGTATGTGACCGAATACTTCAAGATGCAACCTAACCTAAAGTAGGAAGGTTAGAGACTGTGTTATAACCAAAAGATTCCACAATATTTCTGACGTCACCCTAGAAAAGTCATAACCCCGTCAAACAAGTGGAAGGCAACAAAAACCTTTTGCCGAAGTGCCCAGTATGCAGGAAATATGGCTGCAGCATTAGAGGCAATGAGGAAAATTGATTCCCGTACATGTCCTACACAAATTTTCAATTAGTTGATTAGGAAAGGAAATTATAAAATATAGTACCATCAAAAGAATGCTTTGCAGCGAATCTGATACACAAATTTGATAAATAGTGTATGCATTTGTCAACCTGAAGAACAAAGCATATTTGGTTTTCAATTTTTTATAATTATATATATATATATTTTTTTTGCCAAATTGTATAATTAGAAATTAATTCAATGGTCTATGTTTCTTATTGTAGACCCCTCTGTCTGAGATCACACCATTCAAAAACCGGTGGGCGAACTGATTAATTAAACAACCACAGAGACCACAGAAACAATTCGATTACTTTTTCCCAGAACACTCCTCACACAAAATTAGAAGCAAGTACAGATGTCCAGGCATATGCAGAAAAAGATGGTTATACCGCTTATATGAATTTGAAAACTAGATATTTTAGCCAGCCAGATGGATGCTTCCTCTTTGAAGGATATTAGTCTAAGTTGAATATATATCCAGGAAACCAGATAAATACAGCATGGCAGTGAAGAGAATGAACAACTTAGATAGTTACAAAAATAATCAGAGTAAAGATATCTGAAAGAACAAGACAAAATAATATATGTCTAAAGTTAACATTCACCTCGATGTGATACAAGTTCAATGCTACAGTCAAAGCCTCCATGGTTTCGGTCACAAGAGCAGAAGCTGAGGCCAAAAGGCAAACATTTAAACTAATGAAATTCTTTAAAATTTGGAGGAACAGATACAAGACAGGCCATCTGAAAACTGCACGTCATTCTTTTCCCTCATAATACCTCAATCACTATTCAATAGTTTGGTATTTAAAATTCTTGCCTGGAAAATAGAAATAAAGTATTGAACCATAATATAATTGATAATTAAGACTAGGAGAAGTGTTTAAAATAAACCTGTATGATGTTAGCCCACTTGCATCAAAAGAAAATTTGCAGTCCCCATGAGAGGAGCATCGCTTCGGGCATCTTTCAAGTGAAAGAGACATGACGGTCTGTCCCTTTGAAGAAACAGTACTGGTATTAAGATGTCTTAGACCAAAGCCCCACATTCCTTCTCTAGCATAAATAATATAAAAATCAATCTTGTCATCACTTGACTCATATAACACAAAAAACATAGATGGATCGCTCCTCCTTGTCTTGTTAGCATAATAATAATCCCAATTGTCAAGAGATGGCAATCCACCAAATCTGGCATATACTTCATAACTAATCTTCGAATCAGAGGATAGTCGAATGTGAATATTTCCTCCAGCAGCTCCATGAGGAATGTCCAAAAGAAAGTAAGTCCAGGTGTTATCAGGTTGTCCTACGTATGATGGATTGCTTAATAGTGGCTCGAGAGGAAAAATAGCAGAATATGAGGGCACTCGTTCACCAATTGGCAAATAATATGATTCAAAGGGGGTAGAACCTCTCCTTAGAACTGTCTGCAAACAACCATTCTCACCTTGTCAATAAAATACTCATGTGATTAAATTTCTTCAAGCATCAAGACAGAAGTTATTCTACCACAATGCGTTCTTAATATTAAATCTATGTCAATAAACCAGGAAAACATAGCTTAATAACCTTTAGCTTCTAATATATTGTAACCTCTAGGATGGTGTAAGTGGAAAATCCCTGTGAATAATTAAATTTCTATATAATATTCAAATGTTGAGAGCATGTCCATCCATCTTTAATTTCAATTTTGGGATAAATAATTCAAATATCAGGTTATCCTTCCAAAATTTTACATCTATATTTTCAAAACCAATAATCAAGATACAAGTATTGCAAATTATATTTTCATTCTACCCTTAAAATTTATAGCCTCAAGTAAAAATAAATGTGCAGAAGAAATATCCACTATACAATTCTTTTTCAAATAGGATACACTGACATATTAATATAGTGTGTTATCATAATAAAGAAAGCATCTGAGGTGACAGTGAAAATGAAAAATAGAGGCAGAGTTTCATTTTGCAAGCAATCCCACCTGAAGCATGAAGCTTTCCAAGGTACAATTTGGTCCAGCTTTTCCAGATGCGCATTCAAGCACTTGTGATTCCATGGAATAGCAAACCCTTACATCACCATTCTGTGACTCTCCGCTATTTTTTGTAAGATTAACTGGAATTATACTAATGTACCAACGACCAATAAGGGGTGAATGAATAACCAAAGGAGCTTTATTTAAATTATAGGAATAGTCATGCAACGTTACTGAAGGTATGGCACCATGCCGAGCAAAACACATTAGATTAACATCATTTGCACCGGAAGTGATATTTGCTGCCACAATGGTCATCTCTTCCACCACATTCATTATATCCAACGAATATAATTTTGGTACCCCTTCCCAAACACAAACAGTTCCAAAATTATTTCTGCATGTCACAATATTTTCCACCGTTGACTTGTTCACTATTGAAGTATTAGAGACTGAGCATGAAAGTGGATAGACAGTACTGTTGCAGAATTTGCCCCTCATCATTGAATTTGTGCATGCTTCAACACTTATATTGGCACTGAATGAGTATGCTGGGCCTCGGATAATCTGCACAGATATTGAAGCAGCTCTTATAATCAGCTTCTGGCTGACGCATCAAGACCCATTTTTGAAAGGGACAGTGTGAGGTTGATGCAAAAAGTTCAGGAAAACTTTTTATCCATTGATTGCAGATAAAATTGCTTGCTTAAAACTAAGTCATGGATTGAATTGGGTAGTTGTTATTGCAGAAGACTTTAATCATAACAATACTGATAAAAAAAATTATAATTTAGGAATTATTATAAAAAAATGAGAAAATATTTGATCCCAACTATATAATTTAATGTATAATTGAAGAAAGAAATACCACAATGAATTTTACCATTGACCCCAACATCCAAAAATAAGAACAAAAACAATAATTCAACTTGAAGTGAAAAGGCAGCAACTGCACCAACATCGACAGTCAACAACACAGGACTTAAAAGGTTATTAAACTGTTTGAAACAAGTCACCAGCAAACAAAAGTAATGTTCAGTGGTTTAGATAATAAACCATACCATCTTTGACTGCGTGCTTCTAGCTCCAATGCCATTGAAAAGACCAATGTACCAAATGCCTGGAGATATCTGAACTATGATATGTTAAATTCTCAGTCTATTTAAAAAGTACAATAAACAAATCACCTTTGAACAAAACCACAGATTCCCACCCCAGAACCCCCCCCCAAAAAAAAAAATAGTACCGTAAGCATTTTACTACTAACTATTGAAGCATATAAAGTCATATCATTACTGGCATCCAAGTAAGAGACATACTAAGCTTAAAAATATAATATCAGAATAAGAAAACGAAACTATAGCTGCAACTAAAAGGACCTCTAACAATACCTGCTCATTTGTCAATTTCACAGTGATATTTCTCTGCATGGGAAAGCACTGCTCCACATCAAGACCGTTCATTCCTATAAAAAAAGGAAAAAGACATGAAATAGAACAAAACATTCTTGGGTTGAGCATTCTTCCCTTGCATGATTGCCAAAACATCACAGTGAAGCTCACAAAATAATAGAAATTGAGGCTCAACATCCTTTAAGCAAGGTCTCAAATCCAAGTCTTGTGTATAGAAAAAACCATGTTAGGGGAGGATTTTCCCCTAATTGGGACTTGACCCGGCTAAAATCCAAAGTTGGTAATACTGTAAACTAGATTAGTTTGCTACAAGATTAAGCAAATTAGAAATTTTAATTAAATGCACACTAACAAACCAACAAAAGGAAAATTATCTCAATAATATGTCGATACTAATTGAACAAATGAAGGAATATCTTTGGGGGCACAAGTAGTTCATTGTGCTAGCAACTTAGAGAGCGCATGCCATACACTAAATCTAACAAAATGGAAGAAAACAAAATGATAGATATATCACTAACAAGCACTTCAAATAAACTACAAGCTGAAAGGTTAACTGGCTTAGGTTGTTCGTACCTGAAATGGCCAGATCTTTCAGAGAAGTGTTTAGCGCATCAGGGAGTGGAGGGCTTCCATCTCTAAAGCATATTATTGGCAGTATGCTTTTTGAAACCCTTTCAACTGTTGAGGCATCCTGAGCAAACGAGGGAGGCAAATATGTCATACAGTAACATGAAACAGGATAGAAAAAAGAGAACGATTTTATTAAACGAATCAAGAGAAATTAAAATCACATATAATCAAAACAATATTACTCAAACACATTCCATCATACACATGATAGTATTCTAAGGTGATTCAATCCATCAGGTACTGCAAATATACTTACAAGGTCAACATCTGAGTTCAGGGATATAGACACAGCAGAAAACCATGGCGGCAAATCAACTGGGACAAGGTGAGACAAGAAAAACAAGTAAGATCTTACATAGCCCCATAAATATGTAATTAAAAGTCCTTAAACTTTTTCTTCTAGTAGAAACCTTACATCTTGTAACCAGCCTTGTGAATGTGAATTGCCGAAGCAGAGAAAAAAGTTCAGAATCTTAAGTGATATCACCTCCTATATATCTTTCCAATTTAAAATCTTTAGTAAATGATGTCAAGCTTATTATCATCTAATTCTTGCTTGTGCAGGGATTCCATGGATAATAGCCAGATATAAATGTAACAAATTAGGTATCCAACTATTTAAATTTGATAACAAAGGCAAAAGGTAAATATTAATAAATATCTGGTAGGTATAGAAAGAGGCATGACATGGGGCAGGTAAGTAACTCACATCAGATGAAACTGCAAATAATGGGAATTCTTAATCGAGTTATATCTCAAAGGGTAGCAGCTAACAAATAAGAGAAAACGAACAAATCTAAAGTCAAATAAGATCACGCCACATGTTCATTGCAATATGGTTTCTTCCAGTGCACTGATTGTCTCACTGTAACTGACAAAATATTGACAACAAAACGATTTATACTTTTCTTTCTGAAATTTTTATGGGAGCAAAAAACTAGAGTTTCACACTTGGAGAATTAAAGTATGGAACTAACCCCACTCATCCACGTTAATTTGAAGTTAGATTAAACCAAAATATAGAAAACAAAATACTGAGATGAGCGAGACCATCAAATTGTTGCCGCAATGAATAATTATTTTCCACAACTCTTTAACACCAAGAACTGGAAGATTGGAATCACATAATCAGATTGTGCCGATTGAAGACAAAATGACATCAAAAGAGAACATTGAGTTAGTGGCGGTAAAAACCGAGTAGAACAAGAAAAAGGCAATCCTTATGTAAATCAAAATTCAATTACCATCCATTAGAATCCAATGGAATTATGCTTCATGAACAATAAAAACAAAGCATATCAGCCATGCAAACGAAAGGGTCACTATCAATTCGCATACCCACCTCTGATATATCGCAAATCAAAGGGCCTGAGCGTGGTATGAGGGTAGCTGAAGCTGGAAACAGTAAAGGTGTTGCCAGTTATCAGTTCATCAGCACAGAGAATGCCCAATGGAGAAGAAAATAGCGCCAAAAGAATGAGAATCAAATTGCAAAGATGGCATTGAGCCGAATTGACAGCCATGTTTCTTAATTTTTGTTTTTAGAGCAGCTCTCAGCTTCTCAGAGCATTGAGGTGCAGAGAGCGGAACGCGGAAGAGGGTATTAGTGGTTTAATTAGTAATTAACGAAAATCCGGCGTCAGTGAAGTTAAAAACCGAAAATATTTTGGTAAAATCACACAGAAGTCCCATAAAACAATTGTAATAACTAAGAAGTCCCACAAAATACAAAAATAATTATAAAATCCCATGGTCCTTAATTATAAATAAATTTTGATGTATATTTAGTGAAATGCCCTTATTTAAAAAAGTATCTACGCTGTCCCCATTCAATCATCTTCCTCTTCATCCTTCTTATTCTCCAAAATTTGACTCCAATCTTGCTATGTCAGTCTCTCTACCAAAGTGGCCATTGGTATTTGGTAGAGAAGATTTGCTCAACATTCTTGGAATTGCACATGACAATGACTTGCTTTCCAGCAAAGAAGGGAATAGGGAATAGTGCAGATGCAACTTTGGTTAGTGCCAGCAGGTTTGCAAAGATTGTCAAATAATAACGATTCATCATTTATCAATCTCCTTAGGCATGCTGAAGAATGGGCACGCGAGAGGGTTTTTTTTTTTCATTTTTTAAAATAAGGATATAGTTGTAAGTACACTAAAATTTACTGGTTAGGTCAAGGGATTTTAGAATACTTTTTATATTTTATGAGACTTTTTTTGTGCTTACAGTCCTTTTATGGGGGCTGTGTATTATTTTCCCAGATATTTCAGGTAGTTTGGTGTCCATCTCATGTTATGATATTTTGAAGAAAAAAATAAATTATCTGTTTTTAATTTCACTGAAATACGCTTTTGTTCTGGTCTCTTTGTCATTATTGAATTGACTTATCCCCGTAAAGTATTTGAGGCTTAGTTGGAGCGATGTTGGGACTCCACCCTACGCGCGCCTAGGAGCGTGGGACAGTCCATTTCAATTTTTTTCCATTCAATCCAAATACATATCTAAAGATTGTTTTCTTTTGATATTAGCGTAAATAAAATTACTATTCATCAAACCCTATTTATAAATTACTCTTAATATATTTTATTAATATTAAAAAATTTTAAAATTTATTAATTTTATAATTTTTATCTTAAAATTTAATAAGTTTACAATTTTAACTCTATTAAATATATATATTTTAATAATATTTTTTTCTTTAATATTTAATGAAAGATAAAAAAATAATAATGTGATTTACAAATAAAATTTAAAAAAATTTCTATTTTATAAATAGATACGGCTAAATAAAATTAATAGCAGCCCTAACCTGTAAGATAATTCTCTAGGTTAATGTATAATGGTATACTCAAATAATCTTAAATAAAGTTATGATTTTTTTTTTACCCAAAAATTTACATTGGACGTATGCAACGTGTACGAACTTGACATCCTAACAAGCAGATTAATAAAAAAGTATAAAATAGGGAGAATTTCATTAAAATTTCTTGGATATAATATAATGTCAATCAGCTCTCAAAAATTTTGAAATTTCTCTATGAGCCCAAAACACTAAAATGAAATAAATTATCTCAATCAAAATGCCTTTCAATTATAATTAACATTACTCATATAATAAGTCAACTCACGGTTTTTACAAATGGTATTAGCAAAATAACAAATCAACTTACAAGTTTTACAAGTAATATTAATAAAATAAACATAACTTCTTATTATTCTCATAATATTACTTACAAAAATTATAACTTGACTTGTTATTTTATTAATATTACTTATAAAAATCATAACTTAACTTATTATTATAGAAATGTTACTTGTAAAAATTATAACTTATATTGTTATTTTACTAATATTATTTGTAAAAACTATAACTTGACTTGTTATTATAATTATGGTACTTGTAAAAATTATAATTTGACTTATTATGCTAATAATGTCTTGTAAAAATCATAACTTAACTTGTTATTTTAATAATGTTTATTATAATTGAAGGGCGTCTAGGTTATTCAAGCAAGAGAATTTATTTCATTTCAATGTTACGGGATTATAGTAAAATTTTAAAATTTTTTGAGGCCCAATTGAAATTATGTCATATCTAATGAACTTTAATGAAATTTTTCCCTGCAAAATATTAACTTACTTGAATCAAATAATCTATAATATGTTTAGATTAATGAAAATTTAAATTTAAACCAAATTCTTCATTCAGATGAACAAATATTTGTGAATTCAAATACAAATTTCATTTTAAATTATAATTTATTTGTAATTTTAAATTCTTTTTACACCCGGCCATTTAAAATTCTAACAATTTTAAATATTTTTTTCTCTTTGTGTTTTTATTGTTGATGTTTTTATAACTCTAGTATTTTTTTCCTCATCTTTTTTTGATTAAAAAAACTCATCATTTTTAAATTTTTATTTTTATTTTGAATTTCATTTCATTTCTCTTCTTTGTTTAAATAAAGAATTTTAAATACATAAATTTTAAACGTCAGATTTGAAATATAAGATTTCAAATTAAAATTTAAATACATCAATCTAAACATTACCTTAAATAAATTACAAACTTTTAGCCAAGAAATTTATGTTGGAATAATATATTTAAAAATTAACAATATGCCATTTCCAAATATGAAAATAATCGAAAAATGTCGTTGGTATTGTTTTTGGTGGAAAAAATCTTCTGATAATAACTTCAGCATTCACTCAGTTTATAAAATTCTTTAAAACTATGAGAATTATCCTTCTAATCTGTTATGGAAAAAGATGTGGCAATGGTCGATTCTTGAAAAAATAAAACACTTTATGTGGCGACTTAACCATAAAAGATTCCCTTCCAACTCACTCAGAGCCAAGAGAGGAATCAATGAGAATGATTTATGCCTTTTTGAGTGTAATAATGAGGAAACACTTTTACATGTTTTTTGTGATTGTGAGATTGCTAAATCAGTGTGGTCTACTTTAACTAATCTTGTATCTATACCTTCTTTTTTCACATGTGATCTACAAGTTTGGTTGAACAAGAATGCTACAAATGCTTTCGATGGTACAATAATGAATAATTGGAAATGGTCTACAATATTTAGCACCACTTGTTGGGCACTATGAAAAAATAAATGCAAAGGAGCAATTGAAGGGAAAATGATTAGTGCAGATGAACTATTCCACAATGTCAAGTATTAACTCATGGAATATGTGAACAATGGGAGGCTTAAGCACATAATTTTTTAGAATTGCAAGGATTTTGAAGACAAATGGAATCCTCCAACAGACAACTATCTTAAATTAAATGTGGATGGCTCAATCAATCAATAAGGACATACCAAAGGAGGAGGTATACTTCAAAATACAACTACTAATTAGATCTTTAGATTTCAAAAATGATTTGAATACTATCCTCATACTGCCACTGAATTTTGGCTTTGAAAAAGGAATTACAATTGTGTAAACAACTCAACACAACCTAGGTTCAATGTCGTATGGATTCTTTAAAAGGTATCTGACTAGCTAAGAAGGAGGAGAGGTAATCACCCATTGTGAGCTATTATTCAGGAGATGAGAGGCTTGGTCTTTAGTGGTTGCAATGTGGAAATTATGCATTCACATATAGAGATGATTGGGTTAGTAAGCTCAAAATAGAGAGAATGATATTAGCATTTGGCATGAACCTCTAATGAAATGTAATGACCTGTATTAGTCAGACAAGATGATGTAATTTTCTTTCAAGCTTAGCCCTATATTTATTTACTCCTGAAGAAAAAAAAAATAAATACGTTTCAGTGAAAATAATTTTATAAGTATTTTTACATATTTCCAAGTTTCCTTATTATAATTATAAATTATTTATTTAAATAAGGTTAGAGTACATTTTTTATCTTCTAGTTTTACATAAGATTTTATTTTAGTTTCTTAATTTTATAAAGTGTATTTTTAGTTCTTTAACTTTAATACTATTAGTTTTAAATAATTTTTTTGCACTAATAATTGTTGTTCTAAAAAAATTAAACTTAATAAGTCAATATTTGAAATGTTTTGTTAATATTTAAAAGTTTAATGTATTGTTTTTTTTTGGGTGAAGAGACCAACAGTTTTAGGATTAAAAGATTAAAAATATATTTTTTAAAATTAAAGGACCAAAATAAAAATTTATATAATATTAAAAGGCTAAACGTATACTTTAACTCTTAAATTAAACTAGCATGATCTTAGCCCTTGGGTTTAACTTTTATGTTTTTTTTTTAAATAGCATATCATTTAATTTCATTCAGCAAATAATAAGTTAGGGAAGATCACACCCGATGCACTTGTGCACTCAGGACAATCCTTATCAATGACAGGAAGTGTTTACGGGATTAATTAGCATTCGCAAACATCTCCCGGACCTCATTATCGATATAATACGTTTAGTAACCCGTCTTGTTCTCAGAAATAACTAGTCTCACTCCCCACGTAAATATGCATGGATTTTATTAGGGTAAAAATGCATTGTTGTTCATAAAGTATTTTTCAAAAAGTATCTAATATCTTAAATATTTTTATATAATATTTTTGCTCCTAAAATAATTGAGACGTAGTATTCTCCACCTTTGACATTAAATAAACACAATCATGGGTTAAAGGCAAATTGACCACTTACTATCAGGGAAAAAAATATTTATAAGAACACTATACATTAAAAAATATTTATCAGGATATCATAGATTGAAAATGGGTTTGAATGACACGGAGGTTGAATTTT